ATGAACGAACAATTAATAAAAACAAAGTTTTCTGTCCTATTCCATATATTCTATAGTTCCTTACCGTGTTAATTATCAATTATTAGTTATTGATATTCATGGGCAATAGAGATTAATATTTAGGGATAGATATTACCTTTCTTTTTCTCCTTTCAAATAAATTGAAATGATTGAAGTTTTTCTATTTGGAATCGTCTTAGGTCTAATTCCTATTACTTTGGCTGGATTATTCGTAACCGCATATTTACAATACATACGTGGTGATCAGTTGGACCTTTGATTAATTAACATCTCTTTTTTGACTGACCCCTTTAATTTTAATTTAATTAATTTAATTCAAGGAGGTCAAATTCGAATTGCTGTTCAATTTTTTTTTTTTTTTTTTTTTTTCAGTTCGGTGTAATTTTCGACTTAACAAGAGCGGAATCACGCTCTGTAGGATTTGAACCTACGACATTGGGTTTTGGAGACCCACGTTCTACCGAACTGAACTAAGAGCGCTTTCTTATCATAATAAATAAGACTGTAAAAAAGAGGATTCTTTTATTTTATAACCCCAATACATCGTGCACACCTATACTATCATATATCATATATAATATGAGAAAATGATAGATTATGTATGCTTAATTTTAATCAATCTAAAACTAAAATGGCTCCCTCCTTACTGCTCAAAGGAGAAGTAATAGGTAGGGATGACAGGATTTGAACCCGTGACATTTTGTACCCAAAACAAACGCGCTACCAAGCTGCGCTACATCCCTTTCAATTGGCCTACGATGTTATTGTAGAGAATCCTGTCTTGTTTTCCCACACCCTTATTTCATCTATTGATATACAAAAATTATCTTTCCATTTCCTCTTTTTGGTCTCATATCATATAACAACCATATAATGAATAATAAATGAATCTTTTGGCGGGAATTTCTCAGGCAGAAAGGGACCTATTTTTGCTGTTTTAAAGAAAAAGGAAAATCTTATCTATCGAATCATTGTACATTTAAAATTTTAATTTTGAATTAGGAATTCCGGGTACAAATATACAATACAGTGGTCTTTAACCACACATCACATGTGATTATATATGTATTACCATAATGTATGTAATACGATAAAGAAGGAGGATTTTAAATGCGAGATCTAAAAACATATCTTTCCGTAGCACCGGTACTAAGTACTCTCTGGTTCGGTTCTTTAGCGGGTTTATTGATAGAGATCAATCGTTTCTTCCCGGATGCGTTAACATTCCTTTTTTTTAATTCTAGTTATTGTCGCGGGACGGGGTGAAAAAGATTAGATCGATATACAATCAAATATCTGTGACTAATCTCTCGCCCCCCTTGACTTTAGTTGTTTTTTAGAATTATAATTATATAAGAAATGAATTCTAATTATATAAGAAATAATTCTATTTAGTTTTTTTAGAATTCTAATTATATAAGAATTATATAAAATAAAATAAGGAAGGTAGAACGAAAAAAGTGGATTGAACCTCAACAAAACTTGGGTTCAAGCTCCAATTAAATTACTAGTAGAGCGAAAAGAGAAATGTGGCTGGAACAACAGTATCCTACAAGATACTTAAAGAAAATACCGTACTGTGATTCTAAATCGAGTTAGAAATCATTGTATTACTTATTTACTATTAGTATAATACATATTGATTTACTATATTGATTGCAATTGATTGCAACGAAATCTTTCAGGATTTGGTTTTGAGTTAGCAACTTTTATTTATTTATTTTCATTCCTTTCTTCTTCACTTTTGATCGGAAAATAGAAGAGTTGGGTGAATTAAAAACTCAAAGGGGGTTCATGGCCAAGAGTAAAGATGTCCGAGTAACGATTATTTTGGAATGTACCAGTTGTGTTCGAAACGTCGTTAATAAGGAATCAACGGGCATTTCCAGGTATATTACTCAAAAAAATCGACACAATACGCCTAGTCGATTGGAATTGAAGAAATTCTGTTCCTATTGTTACAAACATACAATTCACGGGGAGATAAAGAAATAAATCGAATCAAGTACTCGTATGTCAACCTTCCGAGAATATGAGAAAATAGGACATTAGGTATTTAGGTAACATTAGGTATTTAGTATGAGAAAATAGGACATTAGGTATTCAGGTATAATAATATATATTATATAATATATTAAGTAATATTAAGTATATAATTAGTTAGATATAATATATAACTAATATATAACAAATATTTTATTTATATATTAGTCTATATTTGTATTTCCTTGTCTATTCCACGCTTTCTTTTTAAAGTGAAGTTTTTAGTTTTAAATTATTCGATATGCACGTTAATAAATTTTTAACCTTTTTAACCTGGTATATGATTGTATCAATATTCTTTTATTTTTTTTATTCTATTTTTATTTAGTTCTTATTTTTTTAATAATTTTTTTCTTTATTCTCGAGTCAATTATTTATTTTTTTAGTTTACCGTCTTCGAATGATTTTTAGTTTACAGTCTTCGAATGATTAGGAGTTGGATTTTCATTGATTAGGAATTAGATTTTTAATATCACTAACTATTTTTTTTTTATTTTCTATTCGTGCATAATGATTATTTTAATATTGTTAATTTTAATATTGTTGTTAATTTTAATATTGTTAATATTGTATTATTTATTATATTGTATGATTTATTCATTACTATATTTTTTAGTTATTACTATATTTTGTATTTATTACTATATTTCATTATTTATTTCTTATTTTATTAATTATTTATTATTTTCGTGTCGGTTCTATATATATTTATAAATTATATTTATTTATTATTTATGTATTATCACAGTTATAGATATTTATTTAAATTATATTTATATATTAAATATATTAAAATATTAAATTATATTTATATTTTATATATTAAATATATTAAAATATGAAATTATATTTATATATATTTATAAATTATATTTATTTATTATTTATGTATTATCACAGTTATAGATATTTATTTAAATTATATTTATATATTAAATATATTAAAATATTAAATTATATTTATATTTTATATATTAAATATATTAAAATATGAAATTATATTTATATATTAAATATATTAAAATATGAAATTATATTTATATATTAAATATATTAAAATATGAAATTATATTTATATATTAAATATATTAAAATATGAAATTATATTTATATATTAAATATATTAAAATATGAAATTATATTTAAATAAATATCTATAAATAATATAATAATAAAATAACTAATAAATAAACAAATAAATAATAAATAAATAATTAAAATAAACTAATAAAATAAACAAATAAATAAGAAATAAATAATAAATAAATAATACAATAATAAAAAACACAAAGCAAATCGTATTTATTCTATTAATTCTATAATTTGAATTTGATCCGATCAAAATAGGATTTAGAAAAGGATAGGATAGGAATTATTTTTAGAAATAAGGAATAAAGAAATGATGGATAAATACAAGCCGATCTTTTCGTAGGCGTTTGCCCCCGATCCAATCGGGGGATCGAATTGATTATAGAAACATGAGTTTAATTAGTCGATTTATTAGTGAACAAGGAAAAATCTTATCTAGGCGAGTAAATAGATTGACTTTAAAACAACAACGATTAATTACTATTGCTATAAAACAAGCTCGTATTTTATCTTCGTTACCTTTATTAATAATGAGAAACGATTTGAAAGAAGGGAGTCGACCGCTAGAACTAGAACCAGAAATGAGAAACGATTTGAAAGAAGAGAGTCGACCGCTAGAACTACTGCTCTTAGAACCAGAAATAAATAGGCTTACCCTTCAATTGACTCAAAATTATCAAACGTAGACTGATGCTTTATTCAAAAAATCTGATAATCAAAATTGTCGTGTCGTAAGAAAAAAGAAATAAATAAAAGAATCGAATCGGGTTGGGGAAGAAAAATAAATTTTTTTTTTTTTATTGAGCGTCTTCGCTCATCTTGTTTTCTTGTTTTGATGACCTTATCAGAATTTTTTTATCATATTAATTTCTACTCTACCTCCCTCGAGTTCATTCTCGAGGGAACCCCATTTCATTTAAAGCATTTCGGTGGATTCCTTCCGATCTCCTTATTTTATAATCTCGTTGGAAATCATATAAAGACAATTCCTATTTGAGATAGCTATTTGTGCAAGTATTTTACGATTAAGAAGCAACTGTTTCTTGTACCGATTTTTTATTAATCTACTATAATTATAGGATACCCCCATTCCTCGAATTCCTGCATTTATTCGAGTGATCCACAAACGACGAAAATATCTTTTTTTCCTATCTCTATCCCGATCAGCCGAAACCAAAGCTCTTACTCTTTGTCTCCGAGCTATATATCCCTCTTTCATTCTGGTCATTGAATAAAAGAAATTTTGATGAATAACTAATTCTTTCTTTCAGTTATTCTTTTCTAGTCTATTAATAACAAAACGGATTCTTCCAATGTATAAAATAAAAATTCCAATGGCTTTTGCTACTATAACCGTCCCGCCCACGATTTTTCCTTTTTTCTAGGCATTTCATTTCGCCTTGAAATAAGAAATTGTATTGATACTAGGTATCAAAAAAAGCATATTAACTAAAATAAAGGAGTAAATAGAAATGGATAAATAAATAGTGGGTTCCATCGTTTCTATGGTTACTTCTTAAACGGTGAGGTCCCCTCTATACACCGGAGCTCATTCCTTCATTTAACATTTAATTGGTAACTTGTACAGTTCACACTCTTCGGCTCTACTCATAAATTTTTCAGTAATAGATCTTTCACAACGAGATCTATCTTATACAGTAACGGTATGTAATTAGGAGGATTAATTGGGTAGCTGACCCTGTTAGTCCGTTCTTTGCAAGAGTCGAAGCATAATCTTTTTGCTTTTTAAATAGGATTTTCCCCGCTTAATGGATAAGCATTTGCTACCAATGGGGAATTTTTAAAAAATTCCAAGATTGGATTTGCGCCAATGGAAACCATAAATTTCATACACAATAGAAGGATATGGTAGATCTATCTTTTTTAGATAGTGAACGGAAGAACCCCATTCTATTCACTGGTACTGATCGTTGATACTGAAAAATTGTTTCCTTTTTCTCAGCCCATGATCTGAACAAGTCGCACATACACCCTAGTACATCTTCCTCGGCGCTGAGGACATCCCCGAAGAGCAGGGGCTTTCGTGACATTTCTAATTGGCTGTCTTGCATTTCTAATAAGTTGTTTAATAGTTGGCATGCTGAATCATATACAATCATATACATAATAGACTGGTTTAGATCGATCCTAACCAGATGATTATGAATTACTTCTTTTTCTCTTTAATAGATTAATAAAATATTAATCTATTAAAGAGAAAAAGAAGGAAAGGAATAAGAGGGATTAAATCAATCTAAATCAAAATTAAATGGTGTTCCATTGTCGTCAAATGGTGGTCTTCCATTGCCATTGTCGTCAAATGGTGGTCTTCCATTGCCATTGTCGTCAAATGGTGGTCTTCCATTGCCATTGTCGTCAAATGGTGGTCTTCCATTGCCATTGTCGTCAAATGGTGGTCTTCCATTGCCATTGTCGTCAAATGGTGGTCTTCCATTGCCATTGTCGTCAAATGGTGGTCTTCCATTGCCATTGTCGTCAAATGGTGGTCTTCCATTGCCATTGTCGTCAAATGGTGGTCTTCCATTGCCATTGTCGTTAACTAGTCTCCATTTTTTATTCACTATAGGTTTGTTATTCACTATAGGTTTGTTATTCACTATAGGTTTGTTATTCACTATAGGTTTTTCATTCACTATAGGTTTTTCATTCACTATAGGTTTTTCATTCACTATAGGTTTTTCATTCACTATAGGTTTGTTATTCACTATAGGTTTTTCATTCACTATAGGTTTTTCATTCACTATAGGTTTTTCATTCACTATAGGTTTTTCATTCACTATAGGTCTCGATTCTGTACGCACTATATGATCCACAATTCCATGATCTTTGGCTTCTTTTGCTGACATAAAATTATCTCTTTCCATGTCTTTGTTTATAACCCATCGGGGCTGGCCCGTTCTTTGTACATAAGCCTCTATGATGTCTTCTTGCATTTTCATTACTTCGTCTGTTTCCATGACCCAGTCTTTGAAGCCATCATCCTTAAGCATACTAATAGGTTGATGGATCATTACCCTGATGATATAACATACTTCTAACTCACATAATGAGGCGAGAAGAATAGCTATAGAATTGAACAACCGTACAGGCATTTTTTGCGCATTGCATACGGCTTTACAATTGCATACGGCTTTACAATGGAATTCTCTTTTTTCTTTCATCGAAAAAAAGAGAAAATATAGAGTCTATTAGACCCAGATTAATAAATAATCCAATTACCATCCTTCTTTTTCTTTTTTTTTCGGAAAAGTTTAAAAATACTATGATGGCTCCGTTGCTTTATATATTTATTTCGTCTGTGATTCAGCAATCCCAAAGTTTCTTTTTTTTTTTGAAAAAAAAAAAAGAAAGAAAAAAAATAGTCTTTTTTTTTTTCGTACTCTTTCATAACATAAATATTGTTAATAGCCTCTGGTAGGAAAAGAAAAAAAGTTTGTGACGCCTGAGATGGGCCCACGATAGCTAAGATCAAATTGGAAATGCCCCTTCTCTCATACTACTCTTTCGATACATAATCTAATATTTTTTTTTGAAAAAAAAAAAAAGAAATAAAAAAAAATTTCATATCGAATTCAAAGTGCCATGCTATTATTACTTACTAATTCATATTTCATATGGCGAAGGCATAGTCTTCTTTTTTCTTTCCATCAATAATAAAAAAAAAAAACTCATTGGCGCCGAGCGTGAGGGAATGCTCTGCGTTTGGTAATTTCTCCTCCGACCAAGAGAAAAGCTGCGATTGAAGCGGTCAATCCCATGGCTAGTGTATGCACATCTGGTTCCACTGCTTGCATAGTATCAAAAAGAGATAATCCAGATACTATCCCTCCGCCAGGAGAGTTTATAAAAAAAAACAGGTCTCGGCTATTACTCTCTATACTGAGATAGATCATAATACCCGCAAGTTGATTCGAGGTCTGGATATCAAGCTCTTTGCCCAAAAAAAGCAATCTTTCTCGATAAATTCGGTTGATTAGGATAAAATTGTATCCCTTAGTAGCCGTACAGGCACCTTTTGATGCATACGGTTCAACAAAAATTGCGAAAAAAAATCAATGTGTAGATTCCAGCCATCCTTTGTTTTTTCTAGTCGGACCTTTCTAACTTCTAATTTCTAATGAAGGGGCTTTTTCTTACATTTTTTAAATAAAATGAAATTTAAAATTAAATTAAAGAAAGATGAGTTTTGGCCCGTTTTCCTATAATATAGAAAAAATTCGCTAAACTTATTGCACAAACTTTTCATTGATCCATTTTTTTTTCATTGCGATTCAATCCAAATCACGATGTCATTTTCTTGTTCCTGAATGGGGTTCGTCAATTTTTTATTCAATTTTTTTAGGTTTATGCTCTACTCCGAGTAAAGATCTGCCCGATTTTTATTTGCACATATAGGACAAATGACCCAATACCACGTCTTTTTGCTATGATTTCATTTCCTTTTTTTATTTTAATTTAATTCCTTTTTCTTTCATGTTTTTCGCCAAATATTCAACGTATTTCCCATATTATTCGATTGATTAACAGTTTGAAATCGCTCTTATTTATAATTAAAAAAAAAAGAAAAATTATGATTATGATATAGGTGGTAATCATAAATATATTACCAATTGGGTTTTTTCTAAACGGAGCCTGGATACTTCATTTTATCAGTCCAACCAAGCCAACCATAAATCATTCTAATTGAAAATATTAATCTGGATACACCCCCATGAAATGGATCTCTAATTGCACTTCATTACACTTCCCGCTACAAATTTTTGATAATTCAATCAATCTTTTTGGGGCGAAACAGGGGATATCTCGATCGGGCGAGAGAACGGGGGAATCCCATATGACCCAATATATTTGACAAGTCGCACTATATGTCAACCCAGCTTGCATCGTTATCTCCCGGAACTTGAAAAGGAACTTTTGGAATACCAACAGGCATAAAGTAAAAAGAATGTAAAATTATATTTCGCTTTGATTGTGGAAGCGTAATACGTAATGTAATACGTAATAATGGTCTTATCTTAATAATATGTAATATTATATTTCACTTTGATTGTGGAAGCGTAATACGTAATGTAATACGTAATAATGGTCTTATCTTAATAATATGTAATATTATAATATGTAATATTATATTTCACTTTGATTGTGGAAGCGTAATACGTAATGTAATACGTAATAATGGTCTTATCTTAATAATATGTAATATTATAATATGTAATATTATATTTCACTTTGATTGTGGAAGCGTAATACGTAATGTAATACGTAATAATGGTCTTATCTTAATAATATGTAATAATGGTCTTAATAATATGGGCCTTTATCATATTTTATACATAGATAGACTAAGGCCATAAAATAAAGAAAGGCGGAATGAATGAAAGAGAATTCTTACGAATAGGTCCTTTGAATGATGAACAAATAGGGATGCATTCATTCATAAAAAATAGGATCAACCCCCATTGCGTATTGATACTTATCGAGTATAGAATAGATCTGCTTCTCTTTTTTCTTCTGAGCCGAATTCTTCCCTTATTACTAATGGAATAGAACAAACATTAATCCTTTCTCCGAAAGAATCCACCGAAAAGGGGAGGTATTCCAATGCAATAAAGTTACATAGTGTCTATTTTTCGTTGATTTGATAAAGGGGTATTTCCATGGGTTTGCCTTGGTATCGTGTTCATACTGTCGTATTGAATGATCCCGGTCGCTTGCTTTCTGTTCATATAATGCATACAGCTCTGGTTGCTGGTTGGGCCGGTTCAATGGCTCTATATGAATTAGCTGTTTTTGATCCCTCCGATCCCGTTCTTGATCCAATGTGGAGACAAGGTATGTTCGTTATACCCTTCATGACTCGTTTAGGAATAACCAATTCATGGGGCGGTTGGAGTATTACGGGGCGGACTATAACAAATCCGGGTATTTGGAGTTACGAAGGTGTGGCCGGAGCACATATTGTGTTTTCTGGCTTGTGCTTCTTGGCAGCTATCTGGCATTGGGTATATTGGGATCTAGAAATTTTTTGTGATGAGCGCACAGGAAAACCCTCTTTGGATTTGCCCAAGATTTTTGGAATTCATTTATTTCTCTCAGGAGTGGCTTGCTTTGGCTTTGGCGCATTTCATGTAACAGGATTGTATGGTCCTGGAATATGGGTGTCCGACCCTTATGGACTAACCGGAAAGGTACAACCTGTAAATCCAGCGTGGGGCGTGGAAGGTTTTGATCCTTTTGTTCCGGGAGGAATAGCCTCTCATCATATTGCAGCAGGGACATTGGGCATATTAGCGGGCTTATTCCATCTTAGTGTCCGTCCGCCCCAACGTTTATACAAAGGATTACGTATGGGAAATATTGAAACCGTCCTTTCCAGTAGTATAGCTGCTGTCTTTTTTGCAGCTTTTGTTGTTACTGGAACTATGTGGTATGGTTCAGCAACTACCCCCATCGAATTATTTGGTCCTACTCGTTATCAATGGGATCAAGGATACTTCCAGCAAGAAATATATCGAAGGGTTAGTGCTGGGTTAGCCGAAAATCAAAGTTTATCAGAAGCTTGGTCTAAAATTCCTGAAAAATTAGCTTTTTATGATTACATTGGCAATAATCCGGCAAAAGGAGGATTATTCAGAGCGGGTTCAATGGACAACGGGATGGAATAGCCGTTGGGTGGTTAGGACACCCTATCTTTAGAGATAAAGAAGGGCGTGAACTTTTTGTACGTCGTATGCCTACTTTTTTTGAAACATTTCCGGTTGTTTTGGTAGACGGAGACGGAATTGTTAGAGCGGATGTTCCTTTTAGAAGGGCAGAATCGAAGTATAGTGTCGAACAAGTAGGTGTAACTGTTGAGTTCTATGGTGGCGAACTCAATGGAGTGAGTTATAGTGATCCTGCTACTGTGAAAAAATATGCTAGACGTGCTCAATTGGGTGAAATTTTTGAATTAGATCGTGCTACTTTGAAATCCGATGGTGTTTTTCGTAGCAGTCCAAGGGGTTGGTTTACTTTTGGGCATGCTTCGTTTGCTTTGCTTTTCTTCTTCGGACACATTTGGCATGGTGCTAGAACCCTGTTCAGAGATGTTTTTGCCGGTATTGATCCAGATTTGGATGCTCAAGTGGAATTTGGAGCATTCCAAAAACTTGGAGATCCAACTACAAGAAGACAAGTAGTCTGATGCAAGATTGCTTTGTTATTTTTCGCTTCTATTTTCTGTTTGTGATTTGACATAGGCTGCTGTAAAAATCTTGATTAAAATCGCTGCCTTTTCTTTGATTCTTGTTCTTTCGTTATTTTATTCGGGAGATGATTCTAAATAAATAGGTACGGAAGCTATAATTGTAAACCACGATCGAATTTATGGAAGCATTGGTTTATACATTCCTCTTAGTATCTACTCTAGGGATAATTTTTTTCGCTATCTTTTTTCGAGAACCGCCTAAAGTTCCAACTAAAAAAATGAAATGATTTTTCATTATCTCAATTGAAGTAATGAGCCTCCCAATATTATATTGGGAGGCTCATTACTTCAATTAGTCCCCGTGTTCCTCGAATGGATCCCTTAATTGTTGAGAGGGTTGCCCAAAGGCAGTATATAAGGCGTACCCAGTAAAACTTACAAGTAAACCAGATATAGAGATGGCGACTAAAGTTGCTGTTTCCATTATTATATAATTATATAAATAATATATATAAATATAAATATAAATAATATAAATATAAATATAATTTCAAGATCACAATGGATCTATGATAAGATCGTTTATTTACAGCGGAATGATATACAAAGTCAACAGATCTCACTGAATACAAAATAAGATTTATGGCTACACAAACCGTTGAGGGTAGTTCTAGATCTGGTCCAAGACGAACTGTTGTAGGGGATTTTTGAAACCATTGAATTCGGAATATGGTAAAGTAGCTCCTGGATGGGGAACGACTCCTTTGATGGGTGTCGCAATGGCTTTATTTTCGATATTCTTATCTATTATTTTGGAGATTTATAATTCTTCCGTTTTACTGGATGGAATTTCGCTGAATTAGATTCACAAGAACCACGAAGCCTCGCTTTTCAATACAAAAAGTGAAACTTTTAGTTCTCGGATTTTTTTTAGCCCATTCTATTTTGGTAGTTCGACCGCGAAATTTTTTTTGTTTCTGTATTTCCGGAATATGAGTGTGTGACTTGTTATAATTGATCCTATTGATAGTACAGAAAATGGGTCTGTCCTCTTGATCGAGATAGTTTTATCCCGTCGGATAGCCATTCTAGTATCTGGAGCACGGAATATATGAAATGGATCACGAAGTATTCGAACTATGATTCATACTTAATATTCAAACCTCGCGGCCGGACTCAAAAAAAAAAAAAATTTTCAAAGAAAGAGGTTTTTTATTTATAAATCGAGAAATTTTTTCTTCTTTCAAACTCTCATTTAGTTTATGCTTATTTTGATCAAAGGACAAACCTTTCTTTTCTTTGTATTTTTATTTATTATATCTATTCTATTCATTGAATAAGTGATGATCCAATAATTCTTACTCAAAGAATCTTTGGACTTAGTTTGAAGGTTTTATTGAATCATCGCGGTTCTGGTATGAATCTGAAGTTTCAATTGATTCATAGGGTCTTAACAAGAGAATTCCTATTAAAAATAAAGAAAACAAGAATAAAGCCACATTCCATATAAATAACAAATCAAAGCAAAGAAAAAGAAAAGAAATAAGTAGGTAAATAGAAGATTCAAGAGGCCTGATCAACATAAAGACGAATGCGCCGACTTGATTTTTTGGCATTATAATTACAACTACAAAAAAGAGCTTTCGGATTTTTACTCTTTTGTGTCTTCAGATAAAATTGAATGAAAAGATTAAGAAGTTTCAAACTTTCTATTCCATATCCGTTTCAGCTATTATTTGGGTGTTTTTGTTTGAGCTGTACGAGATGAAATTCTCATATACGGTTCTCAGGGGGGGAGTCCTCTTGGTTTACCTATCTCAATAAAGTCTATGATTGGTTCGAAGAACGCCTCGAGATTCAGGCGATTGCAGATGATATAACTAGTAAATATGTTCCTCCTCATGTTAACATATTTTATTGTCTAGGAGGAATTACGCTTACTTGTTTTTTGGTACAAGTAGCTACAGGATTTGCTATGACTTTTTACTATCGTCCAACCGTTACTGAGGCTTTTACTTCTGTTCAATACATAATGACTGAAGCTAACTTTGGTTGGTTAATCCGATCAGTTCATCGATGGTCGGCAAGTATGATGGTCTTAATGATGATCCTGCACGTATTTCGTGTCTATCTCACTGGTGGTTTTAAAAAACCTCGCGAATTGACTTGGGTTACAGGCGTGGTTCTGGCTGTGTTGACTGCATCTTTTGGTGTAACAGGTTATTCCTTACCTTGGGACCAAATTGGTTATTGGGCAGTCAAAATCGTAACAGGCGTTCCGGAAGCTATTCCGGTAATAGGATCGCCTTTGGTAGAGTTATTGCGTGGAAGTGCTAGTGTGGGACAATCCACTTTGACCCGTTTTTATAGTTTACACACTTTTGTATTACCCCTTCTTACTGCTGTATTTATGTTAATGCATTTCCTAATGATACGTAAGCAAGGCATTTCTGGTCCTTTATAGAGAATATAGACCATAGCTATATTGTAACCAATCATTTATCTTATTACTTGCCAATCATTTATCTTATTACTTGGGGGAGGAACAATAGTATTTCATTGCTACAAATATGGATTGTTGAAAAAAAAAAAAAATAAGACATGTATTTGGATATTTCCTTTCAACTCCACAATATTCTATTATTTATTTGATATGACATGAATAGTTGAAGGGAATTCCCCGAAGAGAAAATGGATTATGGGAGTGTGTGACTTGAACTATTGATTGGGCCATGCAGAAATATGCCTTTATCTGCTACATTGGAATTCACAACCAAATGTGTCTTTGTTCCAACCACCGTGTAAGCCCCATACAAAGGATAGGCTGGTTCGCTTGAAGAGAATCTTTTCTATGATCAGACCTGACGATGTCGTGTATGAACAGGGCTCCGTAAGATCCAGTAGAATAAGTGATTTGGCATAATGCAAATTAGATTTTATTTATTTATTTTTATTTTTTTTTACTTTCTTATCTTAATAGTATGAAAATACATTCATTTCTTCT